GCATGCAACAAAGCTTGGATCATCGCTTCCCTGGACATCAACATGGCTTTCTTGAAGGGACTGACCTATAGCGAGCTCGCCGCGGCAACGGGCGAGAAAGAGCGTGTGGTGTGCTTCACACTACCACCTGGGTCAGCAGCTGTCCTTCGCACACTGCCAGGCTTTGAGTCATATGACGAATCAAAGCATTGTCTTCGGTGTCTGAAGCCGGGGACGGGCACGAAGGATGCTCCCAGGGCATTCTCGCTGAAGCTCAGGTCCATCACTAGGAGCTTTGGGCTACAGCCTACTTCATACGACGAAGAGTTCGAGATGAGCTCAAACCTCTTGACAGCCAAGCACGTTGATGACATCAATATGACTGGGAAGGAAGAGGCTATTGACAAGTATGTCAAGTGTGTTGAAGATACGTTTGGGAAGTGCAAACTGAACAAGCACACATACACAAACTGTGCCGTTCGGTATAACAAGACCGATGATGGGAGCGTCACTCTTGATCAGGACGAATACATCAAACAGCTTCGTCCTATCACACATCCAGAACTCACAGGAGCTGATCCTGAGAGCAAAGCGACAAAGACGATTTCTGATATGTTCGTCAGTCTTCGTGGCGCTCTAGCCTATGCGTTGATCACGCAGGTATGGCTGATGGTCTATGTTGTCTCACTACAACGTATCCAGGAACCGACAAACATCCAGGTACGACGACTAAACGCGGTTACCAGAAAACTACAGGCAGGTCCGAAGAAGATCGTGTATCAAGCTATGACCCCAACAGGAGAAGTCGACCTGCATAGCGATTCTGGCTATCGTCGTCTCAACGGAGATGAAGACGACGAAGTCAAAGGCTATGGTATCCGCGGGGCTAACCTGCTGAGGCGTGGCCACACGCAAGCGGGGAAACCCGTCGTGCACCTGGTGGACGCATACTGCAAGTCTCATCGACTGCAGGTGCGTTCGAGCTACTCTGCGGAAACACTGGCAGCAGCCCACAACTTGGAAGACTGCTACCCGACCATTGTAACGCTCCACGAGCTACACTCGGGACCATTGACCCCCACACAGTTAAAGAACATATTGGAAATGGGTGGTCTATGTATCAAAGTCACTCTGACTATTGATGCCGAGTCTGTCTTCAAGTCTTTGTCTAGCAAAGATCTGAAGAAGCCCACAGAATGTACTCTGCTTGGGCACATTAGCTGGATCCGCCAGATGATGGAGCGCGGAATCGTTGAAAGCGTTCAATGGTGTGACACGCGGGATATGACTGCCGATGGTCATACCAAAGGTAGTATTGACCGCGCGTTGCTCCTACAAGTAATGGCCGGCCAGCAATCCTTCAAGCACGAGCTGAAGAAACATACACCGTATAGGGCGGGCAGGTCGTCTCAGGACGGCCCTGCCTCCCGAGCTAGCGGGGAAACCCGCGGGCAGGTGCGCTTTAATAGCGAGGAAACTCGCCGGTAGCGAGGCTACTCGCGCGCCCTTTCCTTGTAGGCAGCCGCTGCTGCTTAGCACTGTTTTTCCGCATAATGTAGAAGTGCGGTGCCTGCTCGTCTCCTCCCCCTCCGACTTTAAACGGAGAAGGTTAAAGGCGAGGTATAAATCGAGCATGTACCGCTGCCGTGCCTGGCTCAAGCCGGGCCCGGCCAAATATGTGATTGTGCCTCACCGAGGCGCACGACTTGTATCTGAGATCGGAAAATACCTTTTCCATTGACGATGCCCATCCTATCCTTTACTCCAGATCCCATGCTTCGTCTTGCTCTCTTGCTCATGCGATATGAGCCAAAGCCTGGGATATGGCAACGCTTAAAGCGTAACACATACTTAAGCTTACCAGTGCGTTTTCGACTGGCGCCGCCTATTTGTGGGTCGGGACGCAGGGGCAGAGTGTTTCGCCGCGCTCTCTGTCGCCTTCGCCCAGGTCTCTGTCTGCAGGCCTCCCCATCGGGACCTGCAGGCTTTTGGTGCATGCTTCCTGGTTGTTCAGCTCCTAAAAGCTGCACCACCTGGGCAGTCCACGGCAGCTCTGTGCTGCCCTTGGCACCGCGGTCGTGCCCACGGTTATAAATTATCCCAGTGCGACCCGACCTAGGAGTTGGAGCCTTTAGGAAAGCAGCATTAGTAGTAACGGTAAGACTAAGCTACAGCTACAGCTAAGCTAAAGTTAAGATAAAGTTCAGATAAAGCTAAGCTAAAGGTAAGCTAAATCTAAGCTAAAGCTAAGCTGAACCTAAGCTGAGGCTAAGCTGAGGCTAAGCTCAAGCTAAGCTATAGCTAAGCTAAAGCTAAGCTGAAACTCAGCTAAAGCTAAGCTAAAGCTAAGCTAAAGCTAAGCTAAAGCTAAGCTAAAGCTAAGCTAACGCTAAGCTAACGCTAAGCTGGAGCTAAGCTAAAGCTAAGCTAACGCTAAGCTGAATCAACGCTAAAGCTAAGCTAGAGCTAAGCTAAAGCTAAGCTAACGCTAAGCTGAAGCTAAGCTAAGCTACAGCTAAGCGAAGCTAAGATGAAGCTAAGCTGAACTAAGCTAAGCTAAGCTAAGCTAAGCTAAGCTAAGCTAAGATGAGATAAGCAACGCTAAGCTAAGGGGACGTAACTGGGGGAACCGCGGGGCGGATCCTGGGGAAACCGCCCGGGGCGTGGAACACTGCCCGGCCCTTTAAGCAAACACGGTAAGAACCCTTCTAGGCAGAGTCTAGGTAGGGAATAAGCTAAGCTAAGATGAGATAAGCAACGCTAAGCTAAGGGAGCGTCATTGGGGGAACCGCGGGGCGGATGCTGGGGGAACCGCCCGGGGCGAGGAACATTGCCCGGCCCTTTAAGCACACGCGGTAAGAACCCTTCTAGGCAGAGCCTAGGTAGGGAAAAAGAGCTCCCGGGCAATCCTCCCGGGACCCCGGCGGGACGGGCCGAAGCCCCAGGGGGAGTTCTTTTGAAAAAAAACCAAAACCGCACGCCAGGCACCCCTGCGATGAATCGACAGGGGGCGATGGATCCAGTGGCTTTTGGCCCATCCCGCCACCGGCCCTGGGCTGTGGGCCAGAAGCCTCTTGTATGCCTGTTGGGGCGAAGGGGCCCATGAGTCCTCTTCGGGACTTCTTAGAGTCCTCTTGGAGGCCGCTTTGGGACCTCTTGGGCGCTTTCTGTGGGGCCCTTGGGGGACGCAACAGCGTAGCTGTGGAGGTCACACTCGCCAACTGACCCCGGTTTTGGCGGACCAGACGAAGTTGCAAGCCTACGTGACTACAGTAGTACAATACACAGTTTGGTTGTTCGTTTCGGGGGTCTTCTATCATACACGGGTGTCCTCCATCCAGGGCATCATACGGATGACTTCAGAGAGTTCGAGACCATGCATGTTGATTTTACTCATGGCTACAGCCCCCCTTGGGTCCTGGACTTTGCTGGAAGTTCTTTTGGAGGGTCGAATATGGTCTCCAGGAGCCAAGTCATGCAGGACAGAGATAGTGCTGCTCTATCCGTGGCATCTCGCCTCAAGTTTTGAAGCCTCGATCGTTACTCTCTTCATCACCTTCCCATCCCTGCTGCAGGCAGGCCGTCCACGGGACGGATCTTCGCCACCCTCCCAACCCTGCCATGCGCGGGCCGTCCCTGGGACGTTCCTCCGTACCTGCAGTCTGACCTCTCCCCCACGAGTGCGCACAGGGTGACCTGGAGAGCCTCCGCCCAGAGGGCGGCCAGCAACACTTCAGCAGCATTTCAGCGGAAGCAAAGGGAGCATCGTCGCATCCACATGCGCACTGGGGCCGGGCCGGGCTAGGTTGGGGTAGGTCGGGATTGATGGTGGGCATGTCGTGGGTCTTGGGGGCTGCTTTCGGAGGGAACGGCTCCCGAGGCCTCTTGGTTTTCCCCCTCTTGCGGGGTGTCATCGGGGCCTCTTGGGCCGTCTGAGGGGCATCTTGATCCGTCTTGGGGCGATTTGGGGGGCCTCTGCGGCCGTTTTGGGGCGTTGGAAATCGGAAAAGGCGAAAGCACCAACATTTGCTTAAAAACCGCAGGGGGATCTTGGATTTGCACCTATTCGGGACCTCTTGTGGTGCCTTGAGGTCTTGGAAACCCGAGAGTGGTCCTGCGAGGCCCGGAATAAAAATTGGCCGCCTAGGTGTTGCCGTGGCGAAGAACGTATGGGATCGGGCCCGCGCCCACGCTTGGTTCGCCCTCGGCGGCATCGGCCGTGGAGGTGGAGTACGCTGAGCCTGGGGTCTTCATCACTGAGGCCCTTGGCGGCCGACACTGAGGAGCAAGACAGGCCGTGACGACTCTTGGGAGCACCGCGCCGGGATTTGCTTGCACGGAGTCCGCGGTGCCGCCGGCGCGGGCGCCCGTGCGACGAGTGCGCGCGTCGCCTCCGTCGCCGCCGCCGTCGCCATTGACGCCGTCGCTGTCGGCGTCGTCGCCGCCGGCGTCGTTGCCGCCGTCGGTGACGTCGCCGGCGTCGCCGCGCGCCGCTGCCGTCACCACTGGTGCCGTCGCCGACGTCGTCGCCGCCGCCGTCGGTGCCAGCGTCGTCGGCGTCGTCGCCACCATCGCCGCCGCTGCCGTCGCAGTCGGCGTCGTCGCCGCTGTCACCAGACCAGACATCCAACGGCGTGACGTTTTTGCAGCGTGGCTTGCTAAAGAGGTCTGGACCCCTTCTCTGGTGACCACCTTTTCATCCCGAGTTTCATTATGTTGACGGTAAGGTCCCCCGGATGAGGAAAACTTCCAGATATTGCTCGCCGTGATTTTGCACGACGAGCGCCGTCGCCGCCGTCGGTCTGGGCGTCGTCGGCGCCGCCGCCGCCGTCGCCGCCGCCTCGCCGCTGGTGCCGTCGCCGCCGTCGCCGCCGTCGTTGCCGTCGCCGACGTCACCACGCGCCGCCGCCATCGCAGCCGGCGCAGTCGCCGTCGGCGCCGCCGCCGCCGCTGGTGCCGGCGTCGCCGGCCTGGTCGTCGCCGTGCTGGGCGGGTGCCGTCGGCGTCGGCGCCACCCTGAGGCGAAGGCCCTGCGCGACTCCGAGCACTCGGAGCGCCTCGCCCGGCCCCTTCCGCGGCTCGGGCGGCCCTCGGGGATTCGTCGCCGTCGTCGACGTTGCCGACGACGTCGTCGACGATGCCGTCGACGATGCCGTCGGCGGCGCTGTCGGCGTCGCCGTCGGAGTCGCGGAGGCCGTCGTGGCCGTCGTCGACGACGACGAGGTAGTCATAGGGACCCTCGTCGCCGACGGAAGAGAAGAGAGGGAGTAGAGAGGGAAGAGAGGAGGAGGAGGAGGAGGAACATATGACTACAAGGGGGGAGGGTGGAAGGGAGGAGTAGGAGGAGGGAGGGAGGAGAGAGGGAGGAGGCGGCAGGGATCGTCGGAGCAAGAGCAGGAGCACGAGGTGGATAATGAGGAGGAGTACGGGGATGATGATGATGATGATGATGATGATGATGACGATGACGATGACGATGATGATGATGATGATGATGATGATGATGATGATGATGATGATGATGATGATGATGATGATGAGGATGATGATGAGGATGATGATGAGGATGAGGATGAGGATGATGAGATGAGGATGAGGATGAGGAGGAGGAGGAGGAGGAGGAGGAGGAGGAGGAGGAGGAGGAGGAGGAGGAGGACGAGGAGGAGGCTTCGCGACCTATGTGGATTGACTGTGCCTGGCTTGGATCGCTGGCTCGTTCCCCACTCGGATCCATGTTGCGTCGAACGACGCCCCCAAAGCTTTGCTAATCGGTCTTCGTTTGCGGGAGTGAGCCAGCATTCCTTTTCGTCGCACCGATTTCCTTCCGCCTGTTCGTCTAGGATGGCGGGGGACTTTTCAAACGCCTTTGAAAGTCAGTTATCCCTAGCGCGGCACAGAACCCTTGTTGAATGTAGTGTGATATGTTTCGTTGCGTCTGTTCCAGATTGCATACCCGTAGTATTTTCTGTTCGTGCGAATTGCTAACGCTTCGTCGTTCGAAATCCCCCAAAGGTGCGGTGCCTAGCCGCGGCCTTCAGGTTGTCACCCTTTCGAGGTCTTCGGATGCAGGGTGGCTTTGGGAAGTCGCTTCTCACGGGGGTGAAAACATATCCAGCCTTGCTAGAGCTGTGTCAGTGGATCGCAAGCGGCTGAACCTATCTATCTATCCTCCTCACCCCCGTCTTCCCATCCCCTGCATCTTCACGTTGCGACAAGACTCACGACAAAAAGGGTTTGAGCAGTTTTCAGCCTCTGGGTGCCCTCACCAGGCTCCAGAACCGTCAAACACGACTTCTGATGGATATTCATCCCTTATTAAGGGGTCCAGACCTCTGGGGAGACACGTTGCGACATGTTCACGACGTCGGATGCTTATTGAGGACGCAAGGCGAGGATTGTGATTTAGACGTTAGTTTGGGGGGCCTTCGCGGGGCTCACCTGGCGGATCTGTTCGAGTCGTTCTTCGACTACACTTCAGAGAAGGCCGCAGGACGAGGATCATGAGGAGGCTGCAGTCGTAAAGGAAGCATATGCATAAACACACGCCCTCGGCGCTCCGCGCGGATTTCTGGGGTCGGCACTGGAGCCACCCATGGCGCCTCCTGCGCCGCCCCAGGCGCGTGGGGCGCGCCCGGGGAGTGGAGGTCCGTCGTCAATTCGAGACATCCGCGCGGAGCTTTGACATTTCACGGGCATGTTTTGTTGTAGCATGTTTTGTTGTAGCATGTTTTTGTTGTTAATATGTATGTTACTGCGTATTCGTTTTGTTCCGAATCGTTGCGTGGAGGGACAGGCGCGAAATCCAGAAGGCCCGAGGGAGGACGAACGGGGAGGAGGAAGATGCGATCGAAGAGGATCAGGGTGTTTACGAGGATGAGGAGGGGGGCGCAGGAGGGAGGAGCAACAGGAGGGAGGAGTGGGGAAGTGACAGGATAATGGAGGAGGACGTGGACGGAATGTTGAGAGGGGGCTGAGGAGGACGGTACGAGGAGGGATCATACGATAGGGTGTGAGATGTGGGGGGGGTGGGGTAGGAGGAGGGACGACAAAAGACGAGGAACAGAAGGAGGATGAGGATGACGAGGACGAGGAGGAGAACGTTGAGCAGGGAGGCGGGAGGTATGGTCCATATCATCTTTGCTTGGGAGAGGCCGTTTCGAATGTATCCAAAAAGTTGACACCACTGGCGAGTCTTAATCGACGCTGGTCTTCGCCATAGCAAATCATCACAGCACTAACTGCGTTTAGTGTTGGCGATGTTCCATTGCCAAAAACTGAGCCTATAAACGCATATACATATACACATATGCGTACGCACTTGTTCATATGTTTATCATATATATACACACATATACGTAGCATCCCGCAATCGTGGATAGACTGAGGCGGCGGCGGGGACGTCGGCGGGCTTCCAGGCTCTGAAGAAGCCCGCCGCAGGCTCCCAATGCTTACAACTTATACGACGAGCCCGCCGCAGGCGCCGATTTCTCGTTGAAGCAATGTGGGTGGGTCGCGGGGGGGGTCGAGGGTGGGTCGCGGGCGGGTCGCGAATGGGTCGCGGGTTGGTCACGGGTGGGTCGCGGGCGGGTCGCGGGGTGGGTCGCGAGTGGGTCGCGGGTGGGTCGCGGGGTGGGTCGCGGGTGGGTCGCGGGGTGGGTCGCGGGGTTGGTCGCCAGATGGTCGCGGGTGGGTCGCGGGCCAGGGCGCGTGGGGGACGACAACAATAATCAGTTTGATCTCGTTCGCTTTTATATGTTCGTGTGCCATTCAACGTGTATTTTCCAAACCCTCGATGCCCGCCCTCTTCGTCTTCGATCGTGCCCCTGTTGGGGTGTATAGTTTTCTTCCCTGCAGGCCGGGCCCCTGCAGGGCGGCCGCGACCGTCGTCGTGGCCAGCGGCAGCGCTGATCGGCGGCAGCCCGACCCCAAGAGGGACGGACAGGTGACCGACGACGACGACGACGGCGACGAGGACGACGACGACGACAAGCGAAAACGAGAGCGAGAGCAGGAGCGAGAGCGACAGCGGGGCCACAAAGGGGCAGGACAGGGGGCCACGAAGGGCGACAGCGGGGCCACGAAGGGCATGCGTACGGGGCCACGAAGGGCGCGAACGAGCGGGGACCACGAAGGGCTGAGAGTGCGGGGCCACAGGGGGCAACGACGGGGTCACTGAGGGTAGCAACGGGGCCACGCAGGGCGGCGAGGGGGTCACAAAGGGCGATAGCGGAGCCACGAAGGGCACGCGCAAGGGGGCCACGACGGGCGCGAACGAGCAGTGGCCACGAATGGCATGCGCATATTGGGCCGCAGCGGGCAGGGACGGGGCCACTGAGGGCAACGACGAGGCCGCGAACGGCAGCGAGGAGGCCGCGAAGGGTGACGGCGGGGCCACGAAACGCAGGGCATGCATATATGGGGCGACGAAGGGCAGCGAGGGGGCCGCGACGGGCTGCAACGGGTCCACGAAGGGCAGCGAGGGGGCCACGAAGGGCTGCAACGGGGCCGTGAACGGCAGCGAGGGGACCACGAAGGGTTGCAACGGGGACATGAACGGCAGCGAGGGGCCCGCGAAGGGCTGCAACGGGCCCACGAAAGGCAGCGAGGGGGGCCGCGACGGGCTGCAACGGGTCCACGAAGGGCAGCGAGGGGGCCACGATAGGCAGCGAAGGGTCCACGAAAGGTGGCGAGGGGGGCCACGAAGGGCTGCAACGGAACCACGAATGGCAGCAATTTCCCGATTCCAAAGTAAGCTGCGAGGGAGTCCTGAGCGTGAGCGCGACTCCTGGGTGCCTGAGTGTCGGGAGCGCGGCGCTTGACTAAATTGCGGCGAGCTCCAACGCAAGAGCGCGATTCTTGAGTAAATTGCAAGCGAGTCCCCAGCGAGAGCGCGACTCCAGAGCGCCGAGAGAACGGTTCCTGAATAAGTTGAACAGAGTCCCAAACGAGAGCGTGACTCCTGAGCGAATGCAAGGAAGTCTCAGGCGGGAGCGGCGGTCCTGGCTGAAACGTGAGGAAATCTCAGGGGGGAGCCGTTGTTGTTGTAACCCGGGGGCCAACATCGCAGCTTGAACCGAGTGATTTCCCCGGATTACAAAACAGGGTGCGGGCCCCGGAGGAAACACTTCGAGGAAAGCACAGGTGCCGGAGGGGGGATCAGCACAATATTTGTTTTTCAGCAGTGAGCTCAACAACGACCACAACCACAACCACAACAATTGCAGCAACAACAGCAGCAACAACACGAACACTATGTTTGAAACTGTTCGCTCTTATTTGCGCGGGTGCCATCCAACTCCCCAACACGTGTATCGTTAACCTTCGGTGCCCGCCCTCTTCGGTTTCGATCGTCCCCGTTTGGGGGAAGTCTCTTTCTTACCTGCAACGCGTATTTCGTGCAGCCCTTGAGGCAGGGGAAGAGAGGACGGATGGGAGGAAGGGACAAGGGGGAAGGAGGAGGATGGAACTCGAGAGGGAGTAGCAAAAGTGGAACCAGGAGCAGAAAGCACGTGGCAGAACCAGAAGGGCAGATCGGGCGGGTAAACCCTAACGGGCGGGTCGGGAAGGCGGGCCCTGGCGGCGAGGTCGAGCAGCCGGGTTGCTGAAGCGTGCGTCCTGCATACATCGCGAGGAAGTTTGGAGAGGAAGCATCCGGCGGGAACCATTGTTGGTGGAAATTGGGGGCCGTCAGAATTCGGAGGCTCAGTATAATATTTTTATAGAGAAACAGGATGCGAGCCCCAGGAAGTGCACATCAATTGAAAAACACCATGTGCCCCAGAGGGGGAGGGGGTCAACAATACTTCAAAAACAAGCGAGGACCAACAACAGCAACAACGCCAGCAATATATTGACAACACCACCAACAACAAACCAAACACAAAAACACGAACCATCAGTTTTATAGTGTTCGTTATTGTTCGCTCGCGTGCCACTCAACACGTCTATCCCGAACCCTCGATTCCTGCCCTCTTCGTCTTCGATCGTGCCCCCTTTGGAATATATGACTATTGCCTGCGAGGTGTATTTCGTGCAGCCCCGGGGGCAGGGCAAGAGAGGACGCATGGAAGGAAGGGACAAACGCAGGCGCGTTGCTGAAGCGTGCGTCCTGCATGAATCGCGAGGAAGTCTCGAGCGATAGCGCGATTCCCAAATTCATCGTGACGGAATCCACAACGAAAGCGTGATTCATGAGTGTCCGCGACGCGGCGTTTGAATGCATTGCGAGGAAGTCCTACGTGAGAGCGCGTTTCCAGCATACGCTGTGACGACGTCCCGTGCGAGGCGAGAGCGCGATTTGAGAATTCATTGTTCGGAACTGTGAGGCGGGAGCCGTTATTGTTGTTGTAGTCCGGGCCCCAACAACCCAGTTTGGCGACACGTCGCTCCCCCTTGTTAAAACAGTGTGCGGTCCCCGGGAAAAGCATTTAAAATTATGTAAGGGTCGTCGGTGAGGGGGATCAACCACAATTATTTTTCTTAAGTGAGACTTCATCAGCCACATCAACAACAGCAGCAAAAGCATTAACAACATCAACAACACCAGCAACACTAATCCGCACTGCAGAACCTCACTTCAGCCACGCGCCCAGGGACAGTGAAAGACCGCTCGGCCCCCACACTCTGACAATGAGCCCGCCGCAGGCGCCGATTCTTTGTTGAAGCAATGCGGGTGGGTCGCGGGTGGGTCGAGGGCCAGGTCGTGGGTGGGTCGTTGGTGGGTGACGGGTGGGTCGCGGGTGATTCACGGGTGGGTCGCGGGCAGGTCGCGGGGTTGGTCGTGGGTGGGTCGCGGGGGGAGCGCGGGGGGGACGACGACAAACAATCAAACAAACAAACAAGCAAACAAACACACAAAATATTACATGATATATTGCGAAGGCCTTACGGCCGTTGCCGCCGACCCTGAAGATGACGAAAGACAACACGAGGGGGGGGGCAGGAGGAGGAGGAGGAGGAGGAGGAGGAGGCGGAAGGGAGTAGGAGGAGGAAGGGTGAAGGGGGAGGAGGAGGAGGCCTTATGGATGTTGGTTGGGATCTCGTGGTTGACCTCTCGGGGGCGTCTGGAAGGCAACTTGAAGCCTCTTGGGGGCCGTTGTGGGGCCTCTTGGGGCCTCTTTTGGGCCTCTTGGGGCTTCCGGAGGCCGTCTTCGGCGCATCTTGGGGGCGTCTTGGCGCCGCTCGGGGGCCTCTTGGGGCCTTTGGGGGGCCTCTTGGGGCTTCCCGGGGGCCTCTTAGGGCGGAAGTCTCGAATTCTCGGTTCCTCGTCCCCCTCTTGGCTGTTTCTTGGGCCCGTCTTGGGGCCCTATTGGGCCGTCTTGGGCGCCTCTTAGGCTGTCCTGGGGCCTTCTTGGGCCGTCTTGGGGCCCTCTTGTAGGCCTCTTGGGGCGCTCTTGGGGGCCTCTTGGGGGCCTCTTGGGCCGTCTTGGAGTGTCGGAAAGCCGAAAAGGCGAGAAGGCCAAAATCATTCAAAAACCGATGTAAAATTGACGATTTTGGCGCCTGGGGCCCTCTTGGGTGTGCTCTTGGGGCTCTCTTGGAGCGTCTTGAGGGCCTCTTGGGCCGTCTTCGGGCCGTCTTGGGCGTCTTGGGGCCATCGTTCGTCGAGTCGAGGCCCTCTTGTACCCTTTTGGGGGTGTCTTCTGTCGCTCTTGGCTCGTCTTGAAGCTTTTCTGAGCTCCGGGACCCCCCGGGGAGGATGCGTATCTGGGTGGCGACCCCCCCCGGGGACCCCCCCCGGGGACCCCCCCCGGCGACCCCCCCCCCACCCCCCACCCCCCCCGGCGGGGAGGGTAGGGAGGGGCTTCGCCACGACTCAACTACGACGTTGCTCAATGTCGCTTTGGCTCGCGCGCTCAAGGAGACGGGGAACGACGAAGACGACGAGGGACAACGGAGACGGAGACGACGAGGACACGACGGAGACGACGACGACGACGACGACTTCGACGACGACGGTGATCCACGCAAGACGACGACACCGGGATGCGTCTTCCACACGCCGACAGGGTCGGCGGATTCTCCTGCGGGGCGGTTCCGACGCAGTCGCAAGGTTACGATGTGGGAACGATGTTGTTGCTAGTCGTATCATCCAACAGATCTCAACACACATTCTTCAGAAGCCTTCATAAACGCCTCAGTAACGCTAAAACCTCTTCGTCTTCCCCATCTCTTAGGTCATATCTCCACATATCGGCAGCACGCCCAGGGGGTGCTTGGCCTTCCCAGAAGGCCCAGTAGCCATGAGAGCCTTCCGGGAAACTTTGCCAGGGTTTCTCAGAAGGCCAGAGGGTTTGTGAGAAGCCCCGCGCAGCCTCTTGAGAAGCCTTGCCCCACTCTCACTTCCTCCTCGGCGCGCCACCGACTATCTCCTGTATTACCCTTCTCATCGGGCGAAGAGAACTACAAGCAGATACGGCGATCCTGTCCAGGCTGATGCGGTGCTGTCCCCCTTCCTATTGTTACAGTCAGCAGGCTCCGTGGTTGGAGTACAGGGCCCCCCTACACAAGCAATTTTCAGTGCAGTTGATCGGCGTGCTGACCCCAGTGTAGTCGGCCGGCTTCCAGGAGGAGGAGGAGGAGGCGGAGGGAGGACGAGGATGAGGAGGAGAGAGCGGAGACTGAGGCGACGAGGCGGAGGAAGATGGTGATGGTGATGATGATGATGATGATGATGATGATGATGATGCTGATGATGATGATGATGATGATGATGATGATGATGATGATGGTGATGATGGTGATGATGGTGATGATGATGATGATGATGATGCTGATGCTGATGCTGATGCTGATGCTGATGCTGATGCTGATGATGATGATGATGCTGATGATGATGATGATGATGATGTGATGATGATGATGATGATGATGATGATGATGATGATGATGATGATGATGATGATGATGATGATGATGATGATGCTGATGCTGATGCTGATGCTGATGCTGATGAGGATGAGGGTGAGGAGGGGGAGTAGAGTTGCGAAGAAGACGAGGAGGCGGGAGGAACATCAGGGAGGGGATGGGCACGGGGAGGCGAGGCGGACGGAAGACGAGTAGGAAGAGGATTGCAATGCGGAAGGGGAGGAAGGTGACAATGGGGAAAGAGGAGGATAGGGATGAAGAGAATGAAGAGGTTGCGGAGAATGGATTTTGGGTGAAATGAAGGGGGTGGATATGAGAGAGGAAGATAGGGTTCGAGGGGGCTGAGATGGAACATGAAGTATGGAAGAAGGAGTTGACGAGTAAAATGGTGTCGGAGGCGGGGCAAGGTGGGTGGAGAAGGAGGAGGAGCAGGAGGATGAGAAGGAGGTGAATGAGGCGGTAGGACGAACACGAAGAGGAGGGCATGGAGGGCGGCACAGCGGATGTAATGTTCTTCCTTCGCCTCCTCCCGCCCTCCCCTTTACTCCTCCTCGTTCTACTTAATTGGTTCTTCCTGTTGTTTGCCTCTCTCCTCTTCCATCTCCTACTCCAAGGTCGATCGCCCACCCCCCTTCTCCTCACTTCTCCTCGCTCATCCTCTGTTTCTCCCGCCCTTCTCCTTGTCCCTCCTCCTAGCTCTTCTCCCCTTCGAAGAGGGAGATAAGGAAGAGGAGCCGAGGTTTCTCAAGTTCAAGTCCGACAGCGATACCAACATCAGCGCAATCGCAGCCGCGGTCGCGGCCATCGAGAAGGGCATGGGCATGCCCGCGCCCTAGTGCCTCCTCCCAGCTTTGACCATGACCTTTCCTGCCCTTCCATCCTCCCCTCCTGCACCTTCATCCTCCCTCCCTTTCCCCCTAATCCTCCCACACTCACTTTTAATTTCTCTGTTCCTCCCTCCTTTCTCACCCCCCCCTCTCCTCCCCTCCTCCCGCCTCCTCCTGTTTCTACTGCTGGCATGCGTGGCACTGATCTGAGGAACGAAGAGCTCTTAATTTCCTCCTTCCACCTGCCGAATTTGCTAGGACACTGCAGTCTCGGCCCGAGCTGCTCAGTTCCCCCTGGCTCTGACGTGCTTGTCTCCAGCGCGTGCAGCGCGATCTGAATTTTCCTCCCACTTCCTTCGAAGTGCCCACCTCTGATGGATCCGATTCGATATCGATTCTGGCCAGCCCGATCTCGTTCCGCTGATCCAGCGGTCCGACGCGGCCCGATGTTTGCACGGCGTTGCCGTGGATCCTGGCGAGGCCCGATTCGATGCGCATGAGACAATTTCCCGAAGCGTTGTGAGTGGTTGTGTTTTCTCCGGCCAATGGACATTCAGTGCTGTGTTGTGTCGTGATGTGGCCGCCTAGTTAGGTTTCTCCACCGAATTCCTGGAATGGCCAGGTTCTTCTCCCCGTGGGCAGGTCTTGCTGTGGCTCCTGGGGTCCGCACTGTTTCGGTCAGCGGCGACTCAAGTCCAAGACGCGGTATCGACAGCCGAGGGATGCATCGGAGCCGAATTGGGCACAGGAAGGCGACAAGGAAAGGGGCCCGGAGGGAGGGGAGGGAGCAGCGGGCGGCGGAGCACCCTCAGACACTGAAGATCTTGTACGTGCGTGTGTGCCAGGGCACAGGCTTACACGTGCAACCAACCAGGGGTGGCGAGGTATAACAACAAAGACTGTGCCAGTGTGCGGCAAGTCCATGAGATACCAGGCAACAAGACTCCATGGCCGATCACGCACGCAAGTCATGCGAAGTACAGTTTCGGCTGCACAGAGGCAGTGGAGAATTTCAGTGAAGGTACGGCTACATTTGTTGTGGCCAAGAGGCAATCCAGGGAAAGGACCAGGCAAGCAGCCCAGGACAGCACGTAGTTGCGGTCACATGAGGCGTGCCACTTGGCGGCCAGGGTCAGCGCCAGCGGCTGGAATCGGCCAAAAGACGGACGAGAGAAAGCCCAGGAGCCAACACTGTGGCAGTGCACGCGCGGCGCACAGGGGAACCAGGGAGGTGAACGCGGCGCAAAATGCGTGCGGCTTCAAGACGCGCACAGGCGGGCCTGCCAGTGGCCCAAAACGCGGAGAGGCCTACCGGCACGAGTTGTTGGCGACGCCAGAGTTCTGGGTTTTCCTTTGTTCCCCGAGTGGTCGTGAAACAACAGCTCCGGATGAAACGCCAGTTCTGGGGAAGAGGTCGGGACCTCCGGGGTCCACGTTGCAAATCGGGTGTGGACAGACCTGCCCTGACACGTCGATTAAGGAATTGGCCGTTTTCGGTTTGCGCGAGGGCGTCGCGGCCGTCATTTTTGCGGGTCCAGGTCCGTTGGTTTCGGTCCCAGGCCGTTGCCACTAAGGGGAGGTCTACTAAAGGGAGGTTTGTCCACCGCCGAGCAAAACAAACAAAAATCGCGACGCAGGAGGTTTGTGTACCGAGTATATTTGGCACGCTGTTGCGCTTCGGGCCATCTCGGACCCCCGACGAGGTGGGGGGCATGTTTTAGGCAATCTATTAACCCCGCTATCGGGGGCGCCTGCGCCAGGGCGGCCCGGAAGTGCCTCCCCCTACGCTTGCAGGGGGGGTATCAATTTATGGCCGCCTTGAAACGGGCGTTCCCGATCGCGGAAAATAGTATGTTATACAGTTTTCCGCCCGCTACATGTCGACCCGCGCCCTTGTCGGGGGCGGCCAATGAGGGGGGGACGACAATGACAGGGGAGCGGAAAAATCATTACGGTGTTCATGATATCTCAGATCTGTCTGCCCCATCTCTTTGGATCAATACAGCCAGCCCGCACAGTAAGGGTGGGCAAATTTCCAAGGTTACCCTTGCATCCTTCCCCCTCGGCCCATCCCTGGCCGCTTTCGCTGGCCGCGCTCCGCCCGCAAAGTGTAGACATTGCTTTTCAAGGTCCTTGCGTCCGAATCGTGCGTCCTCAGTATGCTGGTTGGCCGTACGTCCCCTCGTCCCGCCTAATCGCCAGCGCAGCCGTGGTGTGTGTTCCAAGTTGCGGGCGCAGCACAGGGACGCATCGCGTGGCGGCGCCCCCGCCCACGCCAAAACCCCACAAGCATGAAGAGAAACTACAGATGCACCCCGTGCCTCCTCTCCCGCCGCCCCCCCCCCCCCCCCCAGGAAGACGAAGACATTCAGAGGAGGGGTCGGAGGGGCTCGATGCATATGATGTATACCACGTCGCTCGGTCGGCATCGGACTGACTTCGGCGAAGGCATTCTGTGTATACAGGGTATAGGTGCTAACGCATCTCACAGGTTGGGAAGTTGGGTCGTCTGTGTACTGAGTTGCTCGGCCAAACCGACGATATGGTGTATATTTCGAGCCCCTTCCCAGGGAGGAGGGGCACACAATAATTACCTGCATAAGCCCATGAAGCGATTCAGAACCTCCCCTTCCTAGTGATACGATAACGCATCCAGCACCCAGAAGCGTTATCTTGGCACCCTGAGTAAGAGACGGGGAGGAGGAGGAGGAGGAGGAGGGGAGAGGAGGAGGAGGAGGAGGAGGAGAGGAGAGGAGGAGGGAGGAGCAGGGAGGAGGAGGAGGACGAGGAGGAGGAGGAGAGGAGGAAGAGGAGGAAGGAGGAGGGGGAGGCGGAGGCGGAAAAGAGGAGGGGAGGGGAGGCGGAGGAGGAGGAGGAGAGAGGAGGAGGGGAGGCAGGAGGGAGGGAGGCGGAGGAGGGGGAGGAGGAGGAGGAGGAGGAGGAAGAGGAGGAGGAAGAGGAGGAGGGGGGGGGGAGGGGGAGTGGGGAGGAGGAGAGGAGGAGGAAGGAGAAGGTGGAGGAGGAGGACAGCGAGGAGGAGGACAGGGAGGAGGAGGAGGACAGGGATGGATGTCGGTCGCGGGGGGCGGAGGAGGATGAATTGATTTTGCGGCTTGGTGTGGTGCTATCGGGCTGGCTCCTGGGCTCAATTCTTGGCACATCCGGCTGAAGTGGTGTAAGTGGCCATGCATTCTCGTCTAATGCCCTCAATTGTTTTTTTGTTGTGCGAAGGCTTCCAGAAGCTGCATCACCCAAGCAAACTAATACGATGTGTGCGTCGGCCCCCCCCAGGGGCGACGCGTGCGCTAAAAAGCCTTGCAGTAGAAGTTCGGTGGCGGGCGCTTTCCATATCGCATGGGCACCGGTATGCTACAAAGTGTTACGTAATGTTGTATGTTTGGTTCGGACGTGTTCCTCCAAGGGGTGCGGGGAAAATTAGTACTGATATGTCATACTGCGTCCCGTAACCGGTTCTTTCCCCACCCTTGCCTGCCAGAGGTCTTTTTTGCAGAGCGGCGCCGCCAACCTCATCCGCACTTACGCGATGGAGAAGGCCACCATGGAGGACTCCGCGCGCCAGGCGAGCGCGCGCGCTGGCGGGCTGCGGCCAGCATGCGGGAAAGGACTCCACGTCGGGCCGGTGTCAGTCGGGGGTGACCTACAGGAGGGGTTAGGAACAGGGCCCTAAAGGGAATCTTTCGGGTCCCTGTTAGGCCTTTTCGGGAGACAGCAGGTTCCCGGGGCCCTCAAGGGCCTTTAAGGCCCTTCTCTTCACCCCCGCCCGATCATGATGACGGGGAAGATTATCTAGCATTTTCTGTAGTTGTCTGAAGTTCTCGGGGCCCGGGTTGATCTTGTGCAGCTGCGCCTCGTCGGGGGCGTTCTCTGGGGGTGCCAGGATCGTCACGAATGGCCGCCAGGGAGCCGAGTTATGATCCCAGAGCCAGAGGACAGCGTTAGGGGTGGTTTCCCGCCAGATACTTGTTGACAGTTTATGTAAATCGCCTTAGGTGATTGAACAATTCCTCGAACAAGAGGTGGTTGAGCATCCTGTGATGGCCGTTTCTATCTTCTCCCCTTCCCATCCGCCATAACCCTTGGGCTGCATGGGGGTTGACCTCAATAAAACCGTCGGCACGCCCCGTGTGCCTCCCACCTCCGCCCCCCTCCCCCATTGTTCCTCCATCTCCTCCCCTTCTTGGACCGCCGATGGTGGCCCAGGGTCGCACTGACGGCTCACGCAGCTAGAGAAGATCTGACCACAAACGGGCACCATCAGGGGCAGAGCTGTCCCACAGGACCAGTGGGACACCTCCCTTTAAAAACCCTTCTTCATGGGCAGCACCCAGGGCAGCCCACAAAAGCGACCAAGAGACACCTAGAACACCGACAGCTCAAGCAGGGCGCGCCGAGGCTTCTGGACCGCCGCCGGATCGATCTCCCCTGCAGCTCTGGCTTCTTAATGTGACTGGGCGCCGGCGGTAAACCGTGAACCACGTTACGCAGCCGCAGCCGCAGCCGCAGCTGCAGCAGCCACAGCCGCAGAGAACCTCGGAAAGCTCTGGGAAGCTTGGGGAGCCCTCCCCCATCCAACCTCTTCCCTCCTTGATTCTCAGTGTTGTTTTCGGTGCGCCTTGCCCCTTCCCCAGGCTCGGCCACCGCGCCCGCGCCTGCCCCTGCACGAGGGCCGCCGCCTGTCTCATTTTCATCGTGTCGTCGTCGTCATCGTCGTCGTCGTGGCCGCCTTTCTTTTGAGGACCTGGCCCCCTCGTGCGGGCCTCGCTCAGTCAGAGTCAGAGTCAGAGTCCCCCGCGCTGCTTCGGCAGACGCTGCTCGCGTTCCTCTCCGGCGCCGACGGCTACGCCCCGAAGAGCGGCGAGATCGTCGGCGCGCCCGCCCCGCGCGGTCGCTCTTGTCTCGGAGCGCGCAGGGCATCCCTCCGCGGGGCCGGCTTCACCTCCCCAGACCTCGAGGATGGATCAGGCGGCTACGGCGGGGGGATGAGTTCAGGGGGACACGAATCGGCCATGCGCAGAGGGGGTAGGGGGAGGGGGGAAGGCTTCTTAGAAGCACCCCTGCTTCTCAGAAGGCGCGGGCCTTGTCTGTAGATGGAGGACGTAGGGCTGGCGCCTTCCAAGAAGCAGCGTCTTCCTGAGAAGCCTTCCCCCCTCCATCTACCCCCTTGCGCGCGCAGCCAAACGACGGGGTGGAGGGAATGGCTCAGGCAGACACAGAGGCGTACGGATGGCCAGCAACGGGGTACTCTCTGCAGATGGCCTCCATCCTCAAGCCGATCTGAAAGATTCGGGGTGAAAAGTCAGTCCCTGGGAAGGACTCCAGATTTCCGAGGAGCCACGTCGTGAACAAAGTCACGACATCAGATGTCTGGAGCAGCGACTGGGAGGAGATTAAGAGCTTAGGTGATGGACCAAGGATGCCCATGATCCTCAGCCAACTTCGCGAGGCAGTCCATGATGGCCTGCGAGCATCCTACCTCGCCGCCTCTCGGGTACCCGCCCCGATCAGCCCCTGTCAGGTCACAGTGCGGTGCACACCGCCGATTCCCATAAGTGTGGCTCTTTTTGGCTCAGGGAGAGTGCGGTTTCAATTGAGGCCGTGCCTGACGCGAGGTCAGCGGTGCGACTAATTATTTTGGGGTTCGCTTGAATTGAAATGTGCCAGGCAGATCAGCCGAGACGCTTCAGGCGCGGGCCCGAGTGAACCCAGACCGCCTTTCGGCGCCTATTTTATGTATATAACTATACACATTTGATTGTCCACCCATGTGCCCGCTGCACTGGTTAGCACATCTGCTCTGGAAAGTATATGCTGCTTCCAGAGAGACTCTAATATGTGAGCGATCTTGGGGCGATCTTTGGGGGCTCTCAAGACTCTTGGGCCGTCTCGGGCCGTCGGAGGGCAGAAAGGAAGCAATTGCCAGCATCTGTCAAACACCTACGGAACATCAATGGTTTTGATTGTTTCTGGCTTTCTCGGAGGCCTTCTTGGAGGCCCCTGGGCCGTCTTGGAGACCTCTTTGGGGCCTCTTGGGCCGTCTTAGAGCCATCTTGGGCAGTCTTGGTGGGCTCCTGGCCCATCTGAAACCATCGGAAGCCGTCTTGGGGGGCACTCTGGGCTGACTTGGGGTCCTCTCGGGGTGCTCCAGGGCCGTCTTGGGGCCCTCTTAGGGCCGTTTAGGGTGCCTCTTGGGCCGTTCTGGGGCCATCTTGTAGGCTTCTTGGGTGATCTTGGGGCGATCTTTGGGGGCTCTTGGGCCGTCTCGGGCCGTCGGAGGGCAGAAAGGAAGCAATTGCCAACATCTGTCAAACACCTGCGGAACATCAATGGTTTTGATTTGTTCTGGCTTTCTCGGAGGCTTTCTTGGAGGCTTCTCGGGCCGTCTTGGAGACCTCTTGGGGCCTCTTGGGCCATCTCAGAGCCATCTTGGGCAGTCTTTGTGAGCTCCTGGCCCATCGGGAGCCGTCTTGGGGGCCACTCTGGGCCGACTTGGGGTCCTCTTGGGGTGCTCCAGGGCCGTCTTGGAGGCCATCTTGGTCGTCTTGGAGGCCTCTCGGGCCGTCATGGGGCCCTCTTTGGGCCGTCTAGGGGGCCTCGTGGGCCGTTCTGGGGCCATCTTGAAGGCTTCTTGGACGATATTGGGGCGATCTTTGGGGGCTCTTGGGCCGTCTCGGGCCGTCGGAAAGCCGAACAGAAGCAAATGACAAGCTCCGTAAAACGAAACCTCAGGAACTGATGATGTTGGCCTTTTCGGGCCTTCCTGGGGAACCTCTTGGGGGCCTCTTAGGCCGTCTTGTAGGCCTCTTGGGGGCCTCTCGGGCCGTCTGCCGTCATCTTGAGGCCGTCTTTGGCGAAACACTCATTCGTATCATACGGCATCTTGGGCTAGGATCCCCAAGATCGCGATGTTTTGTGAAGATGTCCCGAGCGACTCGACCGTTTTTGGAGACGTGGGTGGGGTTGCGCAGCGGCGCGGTCTTCCGGGTGGCAGGCGGGACGCGCCGAAGCCCCAGGGGCGAGTTCTTGTGGAAAAAGAGCCACAACCAAACCGTAAGAAGTTCAGCAAGGCAGGCACCTTTGTGGCAAGACCACAAAGGGCGGCGGATCGAATGGCATTCGGCCCATCCCGCCACCGTGCGTGGGTTGCGGGTCAGAGTTCTTCGGAGCGCTCTCGGGAGCCTCCTGGGAGCGAATGGGGGCCTCTTGGGAGCCTCCTGGGGGCCTCTTGGGGGCCTCTTGGTGGCCTTTTGGGGTGGCAGAGGGCTCGAACTGTCCGTTCGGGTTCCCCATTCGGGGCCCTTCCCTCGCTCTTGGGAGCATTTGTTGGCCCTCTTGTGGCCGTCGTTGTCGCCTCCTGGGGCCCTCTTGGGGGCCCACTGGGGCCGTCTTGGGGCGATTTGGGGGGCCTCGTGGGCCGTCGTGCAGCGTCGGGAAGCCGAAAAGGCGAGACCGACAGAACCCTTCAACAACTCAAGGGCAACTGATGATTTTTGCCTCTTGGGTCCCTCTCTAGAGCCTCTTGGAGGCCTCTGTGGGCACCCTGGAGGTCTCTTAAGCCGTCTTAGGGTCATCTTGGGCGGCTTGGACCGATCGTTCGGCGACTCGGGGCCCTCTTGAGCCATCTTAGCAGCCTGTTGGGGCCCTCTGGGCCCATCTTCGGGCCCTCTTGGGCCGAAGAAGTCACGCGAGAAGACGCGAGACGCCCCCGAAGAGACACGCGAAGCTCCAGTAGATTCGGCAATTTGGGGTCCAGGCCCCTGAAAGACACTTCAGGAGTGAGGATTGAGGCTTAGAGGATTGGGCCCAGGACCTGAGGACACGTCACTCCGTGCCCAGCGGCACGGGGGCGGATGAGGAGCAGGGACTGACGAAATCCTGAAGAGGCTTTGAAGCTTCCGTGTGCCTCCAGAGCCCCGCGTGAATCTCCAAAGACCATCGCGGATCTGAAGACTTCAAGACGATTGAGGAATTGAGGATACAATTGGGTATTCTGAACGTTTGGGGTGCTCCAACTTCTCCGACTCCCCGTCAGATTACCTCCCCTATTCCTCTCATTCGATGCTCCCCCCCTCCACCTCAGTCCGTCCCCCCTGTCCCTACCTCCATCCGTCATCCCCCTCCTCCCCTCCTTAAGATTCGTTCCGTCTTCTCTCTGTCCTTACGCCTCCTTCTCCCTTTGATTTCCGCGTGTGCCTCTTCTGTCACCTGACGGGTGAGAGTATGACCTCGCTTTGCTGCGGCCTGGCTACGTACCAGCCCACAGCAAATTAGCCAGCAGATGGAGAGCAAAAAGGAGATCTTGAAACGCGGGCCACGTTGTGTTCAGGAGGGGTCACCTAGGTCTACGCCGGGAAACCGATTCGTGTCCGAGACTCGCCGTGGCCAGAAGAGCGCCCCCTCGTTTCTGATTCATCATTCCTCATGGTAGTTTGGTGACTGTAACTGATGTATCCATTGGTATGGACTGGTAGGACGTGGCATGTTATCCTCCCTTTTCTGTCATGCTTGCTCCAATTATCGATGTTCCCCTCCTGGGCGACGCCTCAGGGATCCTGAAGCAGATGGGCGACGAGGACGCGTCCCTGCAGCGAAGCTTGTCTGAGTATTCGTTCCTGACAGATGGACTAGGAGGAGCATGATGATTGTAAGAGCAGTCAGGGAAGATGGCACTGCAAGTCGGATGCTGGTACATTGTGCGCGATGCATTGTGTACTTC